ACTTTTCCAACAAATCTACAATTCTGATTTTTTTTTTTTTTTTAACTCCTTATATCTATAAGTCAGCAAGGTATAAGGGATAGTACATTAAATTTCACAGGACAGTAGAAGAAAACTCCATAGGGACAACTCAATAACTTTCATTTCTTTTAATGAAGCTAGATCAAAATAAAACTGATACAAGTAATTTAAAATGGTTTAAAAATGGCAGACATGGCAAAAGCTAGAAGTTTAAAATTATAAATCTGACCAATAAAAAAAAAATTCAGTTGTGGAGTAAAGTCTTCAGTCATTAAGAGAGGATTCAGCCAAATACAGAAATCAAATACGAAATATTTGTATATTTTTTTCTCTTTTTCTAAGTTATTAATAAGTAAGAGATCTCAGAGAGGCTACAGAAAAAGGCATTATGGGTGTTTCATTGAATGTACCTAGAAGCTAGAATCAAACAAACACGATAAGTTTAAAATATTCTTACCATAGTTAGTCCAGGTTGCATTCCTGCACGTATAGCTTCAATCTGAGTATGGGTAAATTGAATAGTATTGCTGTAACAAAGCAAGAAAAAAGGTCAGAAAAAACACAGATTTTGACAACAGTTTCAGTAATTTTTTTAAAAAACAACTGCTTTAATTTAATTGGCTACACATTTCTCCAGAACTGCATGCCTCTAAACAAGACAGTAAATTATATTGGCCAAATTACTACAAAATCATACAGCTAAAACAAACTCGTTAGTTACTATTTGCTGAGAGTGTTGTAAAATTATTAGCTATAATTCTCCTTTTTACTTCTTGAGTAATACAGTGACATGTTGAAATACCAAGTTAAATGACTACTAGATTACCTGGATATAGAGAAAACTGAACTACTTTTTTCTCCCTTCAGTAAGGCAATCTGACACAGGCCTGTCAAAAATTCACTTCCAGGACTCCTATACTACAAGCAAGAAGAGTTCTACTGAGGCCAACTCTACTCTGCATGCTTTAAGTGCACACCTAAAGCACTTACTTGAAGTAGGTGCAGATCTAAGTTTAAACACTTAAGCAATATCAAGAGTTTTTATAAGTAAGTACATAGATTTTACTTTTAGTTGATCGCAGCAAGTTATTGCTGAAACTATCATTTTGCAATTGATAAAGGAAATTACAGAAGTCCCGGTAGGATTAGAAACTTGTTACTTCAATAAATAGTCCAAATGTGATCAGCACTAGCAGATCCACCAGACAAGGAAGATAGGAAGTTTTCCAAAGAGCTGCTAATTTCCTCCTTGTCTGACACATTCACACCCTTGCAGATATTATAACTAGGAGTGGATGTTACGCTTCACTCCAGTCTTCCCCTACCCCACCTCCAACATGTGAACAGTGAAAACCTTCAAAAGACTCTTAAGTCATATGTTTAATAGAGGTATATGTATGCACAGGTACAAGACAAACAACTTATAAAATATTGTACAACAGCAGAACTATTGTACTTCTCACTGCTTTTAACACAAATTATTGAAAACAAATGGAAACTTCCACTGGAAGCTTCATTCATGCAAGAAAGTCTTCAAATTTTAATGTTATGACAAAAATAAGTATTTTGCATACCTCTAGAAGAATATTCAGTCAGTACTGTTCTTTCCTATGCTCTCAACAGTTATAAAAGTCATTAGAAAAGTGGAGAAAACAAGGGCTGCTACGTGAAGTGTCACATTTTCAATACTAAAATTTAAAAGTCTCGACAATACTAAAAGCCAGTATTTCTCGTAATACTTTTCTATGTTTTTTTTGTTTGTTTTTGTTTTTTTAAATAGAGGTGATAATAACACCAAGGAAATACTCCTATATTCAACTCTTTTGGTAATGAAATCACAATTACATTTAAAAAAAAAGTGTGTTTAGTTACGAAAATGAACTGTTAGCACTTTTAACCAAATTCACATACATCTATTACCGTTTTGGTTGATTATATGGATAAGGTCCCCTGTTTGGAATGATGTGAGGCTCTACAATCAGTGTTTTCGCTTCTTCAGATTTTTCTTCATTCCCATCCTCTTTTCTTTTCTTTCCTTTACCTCCTGTTATTGGGAAAGTTATCCTGTAACATATGATTCAAATCTAAGTTTCAAAACATGCACCAGACGGTCTCACAAGCTTATACAGAAAGTTTTTGTCACTGTTGAGACAAACTATCGTAATACAGATTCAGACAAAGTATAGATGAGGACCAGAGAAATGAATAAAAATAAATTGATTAAGCAGACTAAGAAAGTATATTTGACAAGAAGTACATCAAAAGTACATCAAAAGTGTACTTTACATAGCTTGAAAAGACAGGAGCGGTGCTTTAAGACAAGTGGAAGAATGCTGATGGCAAAGAGTTCAAAAATGAAACTGGAAGGGACAGGAGTCAAGATAGAAAAGAAAGCCACTGGCACTGTCTGGTCAGCTGTAATAACCTGATTTTGTTCTGGAACTGATGGACACCTTAACAAAATGTGTCAATGTTCTAAAGAGTTTCAATGCAAGGACTTTCATCCTCCCCCTTCAACTTTATTTTTATAGTAAATGTTATCAAGCATCTATACTTTAATTCAGCAAGAAATTATGGAGGAGGAATTTAAATAGCAATCCAATCATGATACAACAATGGAGACATTTATAGCATCAATAATGTTTTAGTCTCTTTATAAGACAAATACAGCAATACCTCTTCATATAGAAAAAAACGTGAAAGTTAATAATAGTTCACTACAGGAAACCGCATGTGGTGTATACATATGGAATTCCTTCAAACTACTGTCATATAAATGACATACTGTTATTGCCTTTTCCACATATACTCTACATGCAAATGTTTGAAAAAAGCTGTTAAAGCTATGTACACTGAGAAATTCAGTTGCACAAGTATAAAAAAGCCAACAACGAGAGACATCACTTTTTCAAAACTTCCAAACATTAATCACTAATGTCCTGGGCTGGACAACGACACCACTGAAACAAAGTACGTAAATCTCATTTAGTGGTCAGAAAGGTATGCATCTTCTTTCACAAATAATTTCTAAAATAAAGCAAGCGTAATAGCATATCAAACCTGATTGTTTTTTTTCTGAACGGTATTTCCTCTTTTATGACTTTTATGGATGACGAAATTGCTGGACTTACTTTGCTTTAATGTGATCTAAAAACTATTTAACTTAAAAATTACTAGGTTGAACTTGAAGAGACCAGATACCAATAGAGGAGTGAATAGTACATGCCTTTATTCTATTTTACACTGTTCCTTTCCCCATAAATTCAAAAGGGTAATTTACAGGCAATGCTGTACTATAGTTATATATACAAATATTTATATATATGTACTGCTATGTAACTAAGTCTTGATATTAACATATGAATATATTTTCCTAAAAGAAAGAGCACCTCCCTTCAACCAATGAACTCAACTCCATCTGACAATGCACTGCAGCAAGAATAACAGGCCACAACTATTTGAAATCTTGAGATTACCTGAAGGGAGGTACTTGTAGTTCAGGATTGTCAACAGTCACTTTAATATTGTACCCAGGAAAGCTAGCTTTTAAGTGATCAATGGACAGGAAGGTGTCATTAAAATCTAGAGATGCAATCTGATTTGGCATTTTTGAATAGTGTGCACTACTTGGGTCTCCATATCCAAGAATGATGTCATGTAGCCAGTCGGGAACCACACAATCTGTGTTCATCAAATTTCTAATAGTTTCCAGAACAGCCTGAAAATTGGTAAAAAAAAAAAAAGGGAGAAAGAAGATTGGAGAATGACTTTTTAACTAAGTAAATATGACACACTAAAGACTAATAAAGTTATTCTAAGATACTAGCATCTATCAGTCATCCACTTACAGGTGTTTGGTTAGTTACAGTCTATATCTGTACATTGCATATATTAAAAATAATTAAAAAAAAGAAAATACAAACACCAGTGTCAAACTACAAAAATCCTAAACTGTTCTCTTGCAAAGAGTACCATAATTACCAGTAAAGTTTTCATTCTAGAACACTCAGAGAAGGAGAACAACAAAAGCATAATCCAAATATCTTTAAAGAAAATAAATAGCGTCTGATATGATCCTGCAGTCCTAATTTTACAATAAGTTACCAGTTCACGTCAATAGCTACAAATATTTCTGCTCTGTATTCCTCTCCAGGACTCTCAGACCATCCTGTTCATATTAGAAATTCTGCATGTCTACAGAATAGGCACACAAGCAGGGCTTATATTCCACATATTCCCCTGCCTTTAAAGGCCAAATAGAACTACACTGTAGGCCACCTGGTGAAAGACTAAAATTATAAACTAACGTTTCATTTTCTTCTTATTGCTCAATTTGAGTTAGGTTCTGATTTTTCAGTTATTCTAACACTTAGCTGTAAAGAGGAAATTATCACTTGCTGAACTGATCTAACTCCATTTGAAAAGCTCACCCCATGCAATTAAAATGAGTAAGTTTCAGTAATCCTTAGGATAACAGCTCACCTGTATGGCTTAAGTGTTGATGAGTGGTACCTTACCTTGAAATTGTTTTCTTTTGGTTTTCTTCTCATTATTATATTAAAAGTCTCGTATACATCTTCTGCTCCATTTTGAATTGTATTGGTCATGTCTTGTTGATACTGGTTTGGGTCCAGAAATACTCTGTATGTTCTGCAATCGCCTTTAAGTCTTGGTTTGGGTTCAGGTCCTGCCCATAATGAAACAGTAAAATAAGAATTTAATATAGCACAAAAGCAGATTAGTACTCAAATAAGACATCTATTATCCTTCTTGAAGCAGATTTTAGACACATTCATATAATGTTACTTTATGGATGGTATTGTTTCATGTTTTTCATCGCATTTCTACAAGAGTTTCAGAATATATCCTAAATCCTAAAACTGAAGCGTGCTAAATGCCATTTCATTATATCAACTTGTATAAGAGGTAAACAAACAACCTCTTAAGGACTGCTCATCAACTTTGTTTGTTTGTTTTTCAATTAAATAATAACTCATTGAGTACCACTCAAAAGAGAAGCAAGTGAATGATTAAGCTGTTAACAAAAGCCAATCAATCAAAACAAAACAAAAAAAAAACAAAAACCACATTTCAAAGAAGATTGGTGTATCATACCCTCTTCAATAACACGTCCCTTCTCATCCAACATGCCCTGGATTTCACAGCCTCTAACATACACAAGGCCAGTCTGCTCAACAAAAGGTCGTCTTCGGTCAAACTTAGTGCCATAAGGTTGTGTGGGACGTACCGTAACCAAAAAACAGACATCATGTTTCCGTAGACCTGATTCCAAAAAGGAACATTCAATGAATTGATAAAATGCCATTTTCAACTCCCATTCTTTAAAAATATACACAATAAAATATCTGACTTTTTAATTTAAAAAACATGCTTACTTAGACCATAATGTATTCAATTTCAAAATACGCCTTTAACTCTGAAGATACAAAACCATAGGAAATGGTTTTCTTTTCCACTACTCTTACACACTAAAATCTGCTACGATCTCACATACAAAAAGAAGAAACAATTTCTTTCATAACAACAAGCTTCTGCATACTTAGACTATTGCACTTCCAATAATCTTATTTAAGTTACACAACCTAGATATATTTAATTGTATTTGAAAGGTAAATTAATCTATTCTCATCGCCTTCTTCTGGACTACTTCCGAATTATTTTCTAAAAATATAAGTGGAGTGCCTTGAACTAGGCACAAAATTCCAAACAAAGTCAGGGTAGAAGGCCACTTACTCGTGCCATTTGCCATATTCCAGTTTATAAATCTCGGTATGACCTGATAAAGTGTTTTTCCCTCAGTAGTAGCATATTGAACTCAAACTCTTTTCCCCATGCACAGCTACTGCCTAATAAATTATTTTCAAAACATGCACTTGGGCAGCAAATTTTCTTGCTTAAGTTTAGTATTTTCTACTCACCTCTCTAAAATTATGCTCTACTTTTAAAAGGGCAGTTCTCCAATTCATTATCATTTTGAACATCAGACCCTTCTTCCAGTACATCTATCCAATTCACACATTTTGCCAAAATTTAATAAATATACACAGTACTCCCTTATATAATTAACAGAAACTCCAAACAAAGTTAAGAAAAAAATCCTTCCAGATCTTAATGGATCATCATCTTCTGAGGCAGATACTTCTCTTGTGGTTCACTGAATACTGTTATCCCTCTCAAGTTTAATAGAATCATGGAATTACTCAGGTTGGAAAAGACCTTTAAGATCATCAAGTCCAACCTCATCCTAACTATACTACCCTAACAACTCACCACTAAATCATGTCCCTGAGCACCACATCCAGACAGTTTTTAAACACATTCAGTGATGGTGACACAACCACCTCCCTGGGGAGCCAATTCCAATGCTTAACAATCCTTTGTGTACAGAAGCTTTTCCTGATATCCGACCTAAGCCTTCCTTGGCGCAACTTGAGGCTATTTCCCCTTATCCTGTCACCTGTCACCAGGGAGAAGACACCAGCCTCACTCTCACTGCAATCAGCTTTCAGGTACTTGAAGAAGGTATATGAAGGTAATTGAATAAGGTCATCAAGACAATTATTTATCTGCTCTTCACTTCAGTCTTGATTCAGCAGTAGTTTTAAGTTTACCTACATTAAAACATTACTGCTTTCGAACTTCCAGAGGCTACACTAACATTAAAAAAATGCTATATCTATCTACTTCCATTGGTAAAAAAGAGCCATAGAAAAGATATTAGCTACTGGAATATTGCCATAATCTAACAATATTTAGGACAGAATACGTTACTGAATAGCAGAGTTTTACTATCATCAATTAAATACTTATTTTACTATATTTATCTTTCTTTTTCATGTATAAATGGAAAACTCTGGAAAAATGAAACTACACTAGAGGCAAATGCTAGCTTTTTGGAATATGCCTTGATGCTAATCCTATTAACTAGATTAACAATGGAATAGAAAAATGTATCTGAGTCATTTAACCATACAACCTAATCTTGAAGTGCTTAAAAGTATATAAAATTATTTCGAAGCAAAAGCAGGCTAAGAAAATACATTACAATTTTACTGACAAATATGGACCTAATAGATAAAGAGATGAATGGTAAAGGAGTGCTAGCTACTTACTATAAACCTTATCAAAGCATGAGAAGACTGTTTTCAAAATAATTATAAATTAATAACTATAATTTCTATCATTCTTATAATGGAAAATACAAAGACATTAAGTATAAAAATGATAGGTTACTATCAGAGAACGCTGTTTACACTGAAGGCTTCCATGAAGAAATAGACCAAATAGAAGGAAGGGATGCCATCCAATGGGACCTGGACAAACTTGAAAAGTGAGCCCAGAAGAACCTAATGAGATATCAAGGCCAAGTTAAAGGTGTTGCACGTGGGTTCATGGCAATATCACATATGCAAACATGCTAGGAAAAGAACCCATTGAGAGTAGCCTTGCAGCGAGGGATGAAAAGTGGTGGATGAAGAGCTTGGTGTGAGCTTACAGTGTGCAAATATAAGCCCAAAAGGCCAAGAATATCCCAGGCCGTATCAAAAGAAGGGTGGCCAGTAGGTGAGGGAGGTGATTATCCCCCTCTACTCAGACCTCGCAAGGCCCCCCGTCTGGAGTAGTGTGTTCAAGTCTGGGTTGCCCAGCAAAAGAGAGACATGGCGCTGTTGGAGCAGGTCCAGATGAGGGCCAGAAAGATAATCAGAGGAGTGGAGCTGCTCTTCAAATGAAGAAAGGTTGAAGGAGCTGGGCTTATTCAGCTTAGACAAGAGAAGGCTCCAGGAAGATTTCATTGTGGCATTCTAGTACTTAAACAGAGAGATACTGACTTTTTACACAGTTTGATAGTGTTAGAACAAGGCAGAATGGTTTTAAACTAAAAGAGGGGAGATTTAGGTTAGAAGTTAGGAGGAAATTCTTTACTCAGAGGGTGGTGCGGCACAGGAGCAGGTTACCCAGCAAAGCTGGGGAGAGCCAATCCCTGGAGGCATTCATGGCCAGGTTGGATGGGTCCTGGGCAGTCTTATCCAGTGAGTGGCAACTCCACACACAGCATAGGGATTGGAACTGGATCACCTTTAAAGTCCCTTTCACACCAAGGCATTCTATGATTCAGATAATATATCAAAAGATAGGAAAATGTTGATAATGAAACTGCAGAACAGCTTTTTTAAAACACTGCAAGTTCTGGGGACTTGCCCCAAGTTCTATACAAATTCTTTAAAAGCTCTGCAAGCACATGTAAGAAGCTGGATGCCTTATTACGTTAAGGCTGAAGATCACTTTGTTGTCATTAAAACTGGTTACTCTGATAAAAACTTCTGGAAATTTTAAAAATCTGCCATTAAGTGCCTTCAGGATAGTGAAGTCTGCTTCCATCCTCCATGTGACAGTAACAATCCTAACATTACTAGTAAGGAAATATTTTTTTTATCTGTTTGTTTATTGCATGCTCCAGCTTTAGCATTTGTGCTATGTGACCTGTAATCACATCGTGTAGCTCCAGCACATTTCACTAACATTTCTCTACAAAAGAAGAGGAAGTGACATTTACTGATAATCCAAGTACAAGTGCACGCTACTATGCCACTTGCCAACACAGTCAAGTAAAGTTCAATTCCTCAAGCAAAGAAGTGTCGCTTGCAGATACTCTGAAAAAACATTATTTGGTATAGTCAGCACTTCCTAAATACATTCAAATATACTGAATACTACTAATATACGCGCACTTGAATTAAATCAAAATCTGTACCCTTCATCTTTCACATAATGCTTGAGGTTGGAAGGGGTCTCTGCAAGTTACCTGGTCCAACTATCCTGCTAAAGCAAGGCCACCCAGAGCAGCCACATCCAGGTGGCTTCTAAAGATTTCTATAGAAGAGACTGCACAAGCAATCTAGGCAAACCGTGACAGTGCTCTGCGATCTGTACAGTAAATAAGTGCTTACTGTGTTTTTATTAGAGAGATTTCACATTCTCTGCCACTTTTGCAATAAGACATGGTTAGCACGCATGTTAATTTCAAATGCTAAATTATCTTTTCATTTTGCCTCTAAGGTGTAGAATTTCAGTGTTACCAACTGAATAACATCACAGTGAAATGATAAATATTCTGTCCCCAGTGTAAATATTTCAATAATCTTAATTTTGCATTCAGAAAAGGTTAAATTTCTTAGAATTGGAACTTCAATAACATTCTTCTGGAGCATACTAAGATAGAAAAGCCTACCACAGACAAAATCTTTCTTACAAATAAAATCAAGGCAAAGGACATTTTGATAAGCAGTTGTTTTGAGCACCTTATTTTACAGAACATGACAAGTACCTTCCCATTCATCTTTGATGCTATCTCTAACATTCAAATTAATTGTGACATCCGCTCGTACTCGCATGGGCCAGTTTTCACCAATATTGGGCTTTGCAACCTCCACCACTGTGAAAGACACAATGGGCTGTGCCATCCTAGCCCATCCACCAAAGACCACACCTCCATATTCTGACAGCCTAAAAAACAAACCAAACAAACAAAATATAAGAAATCAGTTTTGTTAGTTGTTATCCAATAACTGATTTGGTTTTTAGAGTATGAAAAAAATCACCTCAAAGTCAACTCAAAGAAAAAGGTCTTAATTTTACATGCTACTGAATTGGACTCACGTAATCCTGTATTTTTTTAAAACTGTTTAACATGAACTGATTTTTTTTTTTAAATATATTTCAAGGTATGAGGGCAACATATGCCAGTGTTATTAATAAAACTGAAGACAGAGAGAGAAAAAAAAGTAACAAGAAGCAAATACTGAGTATAAGAGATGCCACACCAAATGATCCCCTTGAAATATAAACAGGATCAAAATATGACAGATTCAAGAACAGGCCATAAAACACTTTATATAATGAAAGAACTAGAGGCAGTGTTTCTGTATTTCATAAATGTTCAGTACCTTTAGAAAACCACCACATAATTGATAATACCACAAACATTGTTTGTTAACATCCAATATCTAGCATTAAGTCTTTCAAGGTAAGACTACAGGTATACATAGGAACTCATTCTTGCAACATCATCCCACAGAACAGAAACACCTTGTGTAATAGGTTAGCACAAAACACAGCATTTTATAACAATTTAAAATACATTAGTAGGCATTTAGTATACACACAACATCAGTAATTCATTCTCAAATGCACTTTGTTTACAATTGAAGCTGAGTTGACTGGTTCAGGTCATTTAACAAATACTACCATGGTTTCATCCTACTGACGCTATCTTCAATGTCCTGTCTGATCTCATAAGTCGACTCTAAGCGAAACAGATTGAAGTTCCTTAGCAAGTAATCGTGAAGAGTCAGAAACTGTAGATTCAGTTTGGGAAGTGCAAGACAGCCTAAAGAAGGGCAGGAAAAGTGTTATTTGATGAATAAAAAAAAGAAAATGAATATTTTGATTCTACATGATTACAAATACATAAACACATTATTCTACAACTGCTGGAATTATAGGAGATCCCAAGGATTTCTCTTTTTGTAGATATACTTTACTAACAAATGCACATTTCCATTCTTTCCTCCCCTAAATTTTCAAGTTCTCTCTAGATGAACCTGCACAAGATTAAAACAATTTTCATCCTTCTGACAGAAGAATTTAGCTGTCTTAAAGAACACAGAAAAGAAATATGATACTGGAAAATACACTGAGTTTAAAAATGGAAAGTGTAAGCTGAAGTTGAGAGAAGAACAAAAAATATGTGTAATCACCTCACAGTAATAGAAATGCTTCTCAAGAGTGCTGCCAACACACAGATAGCAAAATGTTTCAAACAATCTCTGTTTCTTGCCAAAATGACATTTTGCATTACATTTTACATTAATAAAAATTCTATAAAGGATTATTTAAAATTTACAGAACACCACAGAAACAGCTGTAATGAGATGCTTCACTCCATTTCCTCCTTTCAAAAGCACTAATATTTAGTGATTAGTGTATGTTTATATACTTTTTAAAAATATACTTACATATATATATACAATATAAAAAATAAATATGTGTGTGCGTGTGTGCGCGTGAATATAATATCTGTGATTAGTATATACACACACAGCATATATATCGAGGTGACTCCTGTACATCAACTGCTGAGAATGGCATATCTGTTACAGACTATAAGTAAAGTGGCTTTGCATAAATAAAAATCTAAAGGTTTGTGTTTAAGTACTGTATTCACTAAAAGATGCCTTATCATTGCATGAACTCTGAAGACAGAACAAGCACAGGCTCCCTTTTTGGGCACTTACTGTTCCTTTCAGCGTTTAATAAATTGCTAATCATACCTTCTCCAGAATAATATTCAGTTGGGACAATATTTTCATCCCAAATAATCTTCTCTGTGGGATAAAGAGGCATCTGATTGAGTTGCTGAATTTGAGATATTCGTCTCTCATGACGGGAAACCTAAAGGATGCATTTGAAATTTCTGTAAATCAAAACACGAAAATAAAGCTATCTTTAAAACATATGCATTAATCCAGAAAAATGCTGGTGGTCACTTGCCATGTCCTCTGTTTTAAGAACCTCTTTGTTCTTTTTTCCTCCAACACAACTAAATCCACATAATGATACTGAAAGATGAGTAAGCATGTATTCCAAGTATCAATTATTCAAAGAATCATCTGGGTTCTCAACTGATGAAAAATGTTTGCTTGTTTGTTTTTGTTTGATTTGTATTGTTTTGCACTGCACACATTTTCAGCAGCTGACTGAAACACTAGTCATCCAGTACTAGCTAATCTTAATTTCCCCTTTCGGAGAAAAAAATCCACCCAACACTACTATAGAGTAAACTGGACAAATATCTGTTTATGGTATCAATAAGCATCATATTACTACCACCTACATCTTATAAAATCATGCAAAATTTTTGAAGAAGTAATCACAAAAAAAATTATGAAAGATATAAAAAGATTAGATTACTAAAGTAAGTGTTATAAATTTAATAGTAAAAAAAAAAAGACCATTTTGTGCAATAACTGGAATTACAAATAGGCTTGAGGAACCAGACACTGAACAGGTTTAGCAGACTTTTTTTTTTTTTTTTTTTTTTAAGAAAAACAACAACAATAACAACCAAAACAGGCAATTAAATAAACAACAATTTTCCCCAAAGAGCTCAAAACTGTTGATGAGACCCTGCTTATTGACTCTCTTAATTATGCTGAATATACATTACATATACTAGTTTCTTAGGAAACATTTTCAACATTTCAAGATTTTCAAATACTTAATTTGTATCTTTTTGAGCTCCATCTTATTATCCAAATTATTGTTATAATGCTGCTGTGGTTCCCAGGTGTTTTACCAAGGTCATGAACAGCTGTTATAGGACAGCGCAGGTGCTAAATTACATGAACGATGGTTTTACCAGCAGCTCTAGTAGAAACTCCTTCTCGTAGCTGGTATCATTCCCTTCTGGAAGGGAAGGCAGCAAGCAGAGGTACGATGCCACCTGGTGGAGTACATTTGAGCTGCAACAGTGCAAAATAAAAGAATACCATTTTTAATTAATAATTACATTGAAGTCTGAGAGAGATTATGTTTTGTTTTTTTTTAATTAAAGAAGTTCAAATGTGAAGTTTCTTTAAAGTACTAGAATTTAAAATCACTGTAGCAGTAATTAACTTACAGTAATTGAAGTCTAATTTTTAAAAGAGGCTAGCTATTTTCCAGAAGTCTACTGCTTTTCGTGCTTATTAGTGAAATAAAACAATTTTTCTAATGCTGGAACTCCAGTAATTCACTACTAGTTTGTACCATTCTACTGTACTAATGGACCCAAACTCTCAATTTCTCCATATTTTCAATGGATACAAAGGCAGCAAAAAAAAAAAAAGTATACATATTAACTAATTTTACTGACATGAGAAATCAGAGAAAAAATGGCTAGATTTTTGTTAAATGAAAACACACTGAGAACAAAGAATATCAATTTTATGTTAAACATAATTCTGATTACTTACCTGAGTGGTCCAAATAACTTCACCAGTGCATCACGAGTATCTACTGCAGCTACATTTGAGAGCGCAAAGTCATATAACTCCGGGAAGTGTGCAAATGCTGCTCTCTATAAAAGATCCACCCCAAAGAAATGGAACATAAGCACATTAATGAGATAATTTCATCACAGTCTAAGCATTTATACAAACTACAGTCTTTTCGTATTTCTAGTATCCTGCAGACAACTTTAGGATAGAAATAAAAAACAGGTACAATCTCCATTTTTCTTAGCACCACCTATTTAGTATTTCTGTGTTTCTGATGTATTGTTTTTCTGATAGAGCTCATATTAGTACTTGTTCTATCATTAAAACAAAAACGTAAGAGACAGACACGGTAGACTTTTAGTCAACACGGAAAAGCTTTATTTTCACCATGCTTCCTTGATTTTTTTGTTAAATCTGATGTGATAAATCCTAACAATTACCTTTATATACAACAGATGATGAGAACCTTCATTTTTTGTCTCCTATGTACCAAGGTCTACTACTATCACACATGTACTGGTCTTGATGAAATGGTGCCACCTACTGCATAACAGAATCAAGTTCCCTTCTAAATAGATTTTATATGAGCAGTTCACCTTAATCTCAAAAGTGGTGTTGTCCTACTAGAGTGCATTATTTTGTTGCAGTCACATCCATAAATCAAAACCTTCCAAATGGCATAACGAATCAAATTACAACTATTCCTGATAATGAAAATGAATAATAAAAGGTATGCTTTGGGAAATACTCTAATTTGTATACACAACAGTTATAACAGCAAAACTACATCCCTGCCCTCCTGCAAACACTTTACCTGTAAAGAAGTAATTCTGTCATAGTGAATCGTTGTCATCTCATTCTCTGTCAAAGCATTTCCAGTTTGATCATTGATTTCAAAGCCAGTGTAGAATTTAAGCATATCTAAAAGCTGAGACATCATGCATATGGTTAAGTGAATTAACAATACCTCTACTGCAAGTGTAAACACTATTTAACACAATGCACAAACAGTAGTTTGTCAAAGTACTTAAAGAAATGAATCAGCGAGTAACATCCAAGCTTAGCTGATGCATAAAACAGTGTTGAAATACAGCCACAGAAATTACAGCAAGGCCTTTTTAAAACAACAATACAACCTTTTTAATACATCAGTACTAGAAATTAAGTATATTGCATTGACCTAGCCAGAGGTTCAGTGAGACAACAAATCCAATTTATGGCTTTCTGCTATCAAAAGGGGAAAGTCTTGCTCACTCTATCCCACTCTGATGCCCACCCTAGAACTCTTCGTACTTTTCAATGACAGGATGCAGCTTAAAAGAAGAAAATTAAACCAATGCACTTCAGGCTTTCTGTTCCATCAACAAAGACCCTAGGAGAAGACTGAAAAAACACTAGAGATGGGAGACAGTAAGCAGCAAAAAAGGCAGATGAAAAGAAGAGATCTTCAGATCCTGCTGTAAACAACTGACTGTCTATGGCTAAATAAAGCGAAGGAGATTAGTCATAAACAGCACCATTGTAGAATTGTCTGAGGTTAAAATGAAGGAGAGAATGCACTGGTAACATCTTCTGTTACACCTGGGATAAAACAGTCCACAAATTGCACCACTTTCTAGGTTCTACTTTTCAAAAATGCACAAAAAACGTCAGGAACATAAAAGCAGGCACATATAGGTATAGAGAAGAAAAGACTACTGCCTGAAAGACTCCAATGAACATGTAGTTTGCATCCATCAGAAATATTCATAAAAATCTGCCTTAACAACCAAATGTAAAGTAAAACAACTGCAATATTAAGAATTGCAGAATGAAAAAAAAAAAAACTTATTTCACCTGGCAGAAGAGATGACCCTCCTTCTCTCTCTTGGCAAGACTTGACAGGTAACAGTGAACAACAAGATGGGAGTCATCCAACACTGTATTAAACCAGCGTCGTGTGGGAAGCAAAGCCTGTGGTAAATAGTATCATATTAGTACAAACAATTCTTCAAAATTAAAGAAATCTTGGTTTCTCAATTTCTCCCCATTACAAGAAGGTAGACAATTATAGATCGCTGCAGTTATTTACTTATCTAAAACCCTAACAGAGGTTCTCATACGAAGGCAGCATTTGTGTGCCAAGACACTGGTTTTATGCAGGTAGGCTGCTATGAACTTCCACAAGTCTGGCAATGAGGCATAAGCTCATCATGAGTGAGGTTACACCCTATTAGCAATAAAAGTAAATTAAATAAAGCAACTGTTCCACCAGTAGCATTTACATAATCCTTGTGTGCTACAAACGCATAACATCAAACTGCTGCAATACTATTTTAAATGTGCATGTTCTACACTGATTTCAATCGTCTTGTTTTGTTTTTATATTAAGCTTGAGCTTCTCAGAACTGAGAACTCCATTTTTTCTATCTACAGTATTGTATCTTCCATTATTCATAAGATATGCACAGTAGTTCTAATATTTTTCAGTTTTATTAATAATATCAAGCTTACAAAAGCTGAGACCACATTTTCAATGAAAACTGTTCAAGCTGCTTTACAAATGAACTTAAGCTGTTTAAAAATGAATTGTTCTGAGTGGAATGTACAGATGAATTTAGAAAGTCAAAAGACATCAACATGACACTGAGAACTAAAGATTTTACAGTAGAAAATGTTAATTGCCACATACAATCACCACCAAAAAAAAACCAAACTAAATCAACAAAAGAGCCTTCTAAGAAACTGTTCCTTCTGACTTATCAAATCACTAAGTTTTTATTTTAGAGTACAAACTTAGAAATAGGTACCTCATTATAGCTAAAAAAAAAGACATTAAAACAATACATGCCACAGAGGCAAACAGACTTGAATTTACAGCTAATTTCTCATATGCTTGTTTTTGTCATTTAAACAGGCTTCATAAACTTTCTGAATTCCAACCCTCCTTTAACACTTAATGACAACATTAAATGCACTGCCTCTAAGTGGTTTGGCCAGAAACAAGGTTTAAGCTTAAAATCAAATATATCAATCCCTTATGAAAATGTATTATGTCCGTAGGACAACAAGCTCTAATTTAAAGGCTTTTTCTTCTATTGCAGCTATAAGCACAGGCTACTTAAGGAATTTAGTAGAGGACAGTTAACTTATGTGAGTTCAAGAGTAAGTCATTTAAAATCCCCTGTGCTTAACATTTCAGCAAACTGCCCTATTCCAGAACGTCTTCTCAAGCTGAAATTACTTTAAGTTGTTACTCATGTGAGAACGTATCAATTAATATCTTATTTTTTATCCTGGAACTGCAAAGCTTTAAACTGTCCCATTTTCTCAGTATCTGCAGATAAATTTCAGAAAACCTCACTTGGCCTCCTACTATTATTCTGAACCAAACTCAGATCACCAGAACTGTTCCTTGTAAATAACAAGTTCTAGTCAAATAAAAATACCTTGCAGTTCAGAACTACACATGCCTTTTGGGATTATAATCTTCAACACAAAAGATACTTTACGTAGCCTATGGTGCTTTGAAAGGAAGCTTCCTAGATTAATCCTAATGGATTAAAGCTTCACACATTTTCCTCAATTGCTGAAATTATTACTGATCTCATTAGGAGTCTTCATAGAGCAACCTAGGATCTTAGACTTCTCTAATCATTTCTAAATCAGATAAATGCTCCATCAAGTTCCAGTGTAGCTGCACTGCTACAACCTCTTATTTACAGCTAGAAAACCACTACTAAGCAACCTCATACACAGCTGTGACATAACTACCTGTTAACTGGAGTAAGTCTAAAATGACAATTTTATGGTACAAAAATGTAGAAAGCACACCTAGAAACAGGCTGAAAGAAATCAATTTACCTCAAGATCGATCATGAGTTCAATGAATCTCTCACAATAATGAACTTTGTCCATAGAAATAGGACCTAGATAGGAATAAAATATTTATAATTGATCCACACCACAATATATTTTTAAACATCTAAAATGTTGCTAGTACACCAGTATGAGCTTCTAACAAGATATCAAACTAACCAGCACATTCTTCCCTTTTTCCTCAAACAATCCTTTCCTTCACTGTGAACCAGAAAATAGTTGGATATAAGAAATAAAAGAAACTAGACTTCTAGAAGTGAATTTATCCACTGAAAAACACAAAAAATATGCCACACAAAAATGCTTACTTTCACATGACACCAGGCCTGCTACATTTCTTAAAAACTTTTCATGTCAAGTTCTAAAAATATATATATACACACACATATATATATATATACATACATTATATACATACACTTATATATATATATATATGTTGATTACCTTTTAAAACTGCAGTCAAATCAGCAAAAGGCTGTCACAAAATTCAAAGGTACTGAATGCTGCATTAAATCAGCCTATTTGTTTTGCATCCTGAAGGGTCAAATGGTCTAACAGTGTATATAGTCAGGTAAAGTGTAGTATCTTTCAAACATATTAGGCCCACGAAGATCTCTTTCCACATCTCACCTTCCCAAGAATGTCTTTTCAGCTAAAATACTTCTGGTACACACGTGGCACATGTGGTCAACTGGCTGAAAGTCCTTACTGACTGTCCAACTGCCTGTTATATTTCCTTGGAAATACTCAAGTCTAACTGGACAAGTCTTGAGCAACCTCCTCTAACTAACTAACCGTGCTTTGATCAAGGGGTCAGACTACGTAACATTGAAGGGTCCCTTCCAATCTCAACTACTCTGCAACCCTGTGAAAACATTTAAATGAAGCACTCTTAAGAAAAAAATTACTTAAAAAAAAAAAAAGAGAAATAAGATTGGTGTGAAGATCTACAAAGCATGAAAAAAAAATTATCCAAGAACCAGTACTTTTCACCAGTGCTTGACCCACTGAAACTTCACAAAATGTATCATCAAGGGCTGCATTGTACAATGCCAAAAGCAGAGTGTATAGTTTATGTGGACTGCTGAGAGGCTAAAAGAATTGAGTCAGAACACAATACGAAATCTGCTTTAATGAATGTCTATGTCCAAAAGCCTTCACCATACTTTTAAAGCAAGTCTTTATAAAACCAATCTTTGCACAACTGGGAAGATGGATAGGTTAGGTATCTTTTTTGAAAAAGCCTTGATACTCAGAAATTCTTCTTACAGCTCACATAAAACTTAGCAAGTTTTAGCTCTTAAGTACAAAAGCAGAATTCTAGGATATGATGTTACCTGAACTGTGCTTGGATTATAAGCAGTTTATTTATTTGTAAAAATGCTACTACCTTTCTGTAGAAACACTCTTTCTGTTCTCCATCAGGCAAGCATATAATTTTTTCTTGCCTATATGACTTCTTATAAATCAAGAGCAGTCAAATTTTACTGCATGTAACTTCACTTATGTTTCTGTTCTCACCATAAATCAACATTACTCACAGAATATGATATTACTGACAGGCTCATGACATGCATTTGTAACAACTCATACAGGTACGCTTTGAAATATTTTAATATTGTAAGGATGATGCAAGTACAGAATTAAGAGTATCACTATCCAAAAATATATTTTTAAGTCCACACTGAACCTAAATAGAAGATGTTCAAAGTAGCTTTCCACTATTTCATTTTTAAAGCATATGTAAATACAAATACTAACTTTGACATGAAATCCATGCACACAGGCTTATTACCAAAACCCCATATAGACAAGGTCTCCAACCTCAGGCTGGTATCCTAAGTAGTTACTCTTCAATACAAGAAAAGAATTTAAGATGCATTATCACATAACAAAATAACACAAGAACCAGAGTTACCTGAGACAGGTATTGATTTTAGCACAGAAATGAATTTCTGAATGAGCTGTGAAAGAAATCTTCTCTCTCGATATGCTCTAAAATCAAATAGAGGACAAAAGAATTAATATTCCTGAAATGAAGACTAGAAATATCTTCCACAAGTACGAAGTTAGCTGCTTTCAGACATACATAATGGTAACGATTTGTTTTGAGTCATACCTAAGTTCTTTAGATGATAAATTTTCTTTGACTCAGGCCAACAGATTAGCAGAATCTGTTTTTAACTTACAGAAAAAATGGATTAACAACCCATACTTCTACTGACTAAAAGAGAAGTATGATATCACCTACACTTCACCATATTATAATACAAAAATTATTCAAACATTTAGCTTTTGTAAAATACACCCAAGTTTATTTAAGCACTTTAATTCACATAAGAGTGAAGTCCTTGCTTAAGTCATGAAAAAAATACATGAGCAACTATACAAAACAATACTCTTATATAGCCCTTATGCACTGGCTCTACAATTCGTAATCCTAAACTCACTGATCAAATAAAATGTTAGCTTTTGTAACATTAATTTACATGAAGATTGCTGGAAAACAAAATAGCTTCCAAAAGAGAAAACATGATCAATCCTTATATGTGATCTTTACATGTTGTTGTTCTTTTTTTAATTATGGATATTATTATTATAACAACTTCACTTAGTTGAATTACAATGGTCAATACATCGGCCATTGGATTTAACTGGAAAAAAAATCTGTTGTAACATACTGCATTCTTGCCTCCTCGCTCATTTTCTCATCATTTTTCTTAATTAGATTCCAGAATTTTCTTAGTTTTGGTGTCTTTTTCAGCTCTTGCTCCAGTCGTTTCTGAAAAGGTAAAAGAGTCTTTCTTACAACAAGAAAAGCAAATACGAAGTAGTATTTCAGAAAAATGTCTACAGAAGTCACTGACACACATCTACACTATCTTGTTAAACCTTATTCCCTCAGTAGCAACACATACGCTCTTCCCAGTCAGCTTTTTGGTATTCTTTGCTTTCCTATTCCACTGCTTCCCACTTCCACATAGCAGGTCAATTTCCCAGTCCTAATATTATCATGTCCTAGCCTACAAACCATACCTCAAAAAAGCAATAATCAATAAAGCTTAGATTTTTGGAGGGAAAAAAAACATATAACTGCAAATGAACATGGAAATTGGCAACAGGAAAGAGTTTTACCAAGCACACAAAAATACAGATGCACTGTAATGCAGACCACTTCAAATACTGGACAATCACCACATAACTCACACTGCAGAACTTGCATTTTGCCTAGAAGATTACATTATTATGCTTACAGGTTGTAGAGCCATCCACATTGGTAAGGAAATGAGCTGCTGCACCTGACCTCTTATCAAATCCACTTCCTGTCAGAAAGGTAGAGATAAAAAAGCATTTTTAAGGACGTTTATACTTTCTGATGTACCTATCTTGCAAGTATAATCTTGCAAATTACATTACGATCTGAATGTATGCTGATGTATTAGATTTCACAACTTCCTAACAGGAAACTACACAGCATCACTCCCCAGTAACTCTTAGAACTGTTCACTGCTTGTGTAGACCTTGATTTTGATTAATACATCTTGCGTCCAATATATACATTGACAAGAGAGATAACAGAAACATGTTTCAAATAACATGCATGTTGTTTTTCTTTTCCTCTCTACACTTGCAAATTAGAATCTACAATTGTGTCCAGCTTTTACTACAGAGTAAGAATAATCTGGTCAAATAGTTCCTTAGGACTAACATATAAAAAGTGAAGACAAGTGTAACCCAAAATCTCTTTTCAAAGATGAAAAAAATCTGTCATCTCTCTCAGTAATAAAAATCATAACATGCAGCAATACGTTAATAAAAATAGTTTTATGCAATTTTGCAACCAAACTACAAGAGACCTGTAGTAAGGAATTCATTTAAGGGTGAAACATATTTTTTAGTCAAAATATTTTCAAGCACCATTTGAAATGTAACTGAATATATGCCTCTAAATTCATTACTTCAAATTCTGAGTCTCTTACAACTTTGTGTGTAGAGAGAAACCAAGCAAGTGTCAAAAAGAAGGGTAAATGCCATCCAACATCACCATCATCTCTAAAAGAAAATTCTGTCTCCTAAAGAACTGCTAAAACCAAACTGCTGCTAATATGGCAGAACCACACCATAAGTGTTAGAGTAAGAGTTATACTTAACATACCAAACTATTGAAACAATGATCAAGGAAAAGTAGGAGAACTGTCTGTTCATGTAGAGAGAATTCGTCGTCATCCTCAACCAGTGATGCTTCCAGGATGCATTTGAAAAAGAAGGGAAAGTGCTCTGACTTCTTTTTGAATGTCTAGGAACAGAAAAGAAAGTTAATCCTGAGTCAAGGTGATACAAATTTCCAACTTCATTCACATAGCATAACTTGAGATCTCCAGATTCATTCAAATGCATAAAAGGAAGAATTTTTCTTTCTGACATCTATTTTAACCAGGCAACACAAACACAGTCTTAATGATATCCTCCTGATCAGGGATTCCCCAGTATGTGGGAGAACTCTTAAAGGGACTACTGCATTACATTTGCCCTCTAACACACGTGATACATAGGACACAGACCATGAAAAGTGGACCACCTGTAGAAACACAAAAATATTTCTAAAGCTACTACTCATCAAAACGATACACAGAAGTAACATAAGAGATTCAGTTTAAAATTTCATGCAATATAGCTTCTCTGAGTGTGGCAGACTTTTTCAAGTGCCAAAAAAGTAAAGTGCCACTGATATGAGGCAGCAGAACAAAAGACTCATGCACAGAAAAAAATAATCAGATGATCTTTCATCCATGTGCTGCTTTCTCAGAGAACTCACGCTATATAATACGAAATACTCCAGCTGACGTACCATTTACTTTAAACACTGCAAGCTTTGCTACTTTCCATCAGTATAAGAGAACACACTGCAAAAACTGCAACTTCTGTGTAAAAGTCAATTGTGTAACTGTAATTGGTTACCTCCCACGCAGGGACATTCTCTCTGAACTTCTCGTTCACCATACAGCAGATTGACATTAAGTATGCCTTACTGGACACCTCTGGAGAATAATTCATCCATAGGTAATTTTCAAGGTACTGGCTTTGAAAAGACAAAGAATATGTCATTAGTTGCTGCCACCCACATAATCTGTCACTCATACAAAAAAGCAATTATCCACAGGCGAGGTTGGTTTGTCATCTTTAAAGTTACTGAGCAGTTCCTGAAGCTAAATCTCAATCAGGTCACTTCAGTAAACTTGGTAATGGCAGATTCACGTAACCGCTACAAGAGACAGATGATTTTCTCATCAGGATGACAAACTGATAAGTGGGGTTGAAAAATGCCTTAAGTACCCACAGCTGAATGCATAATCAGAAAAAGAATTCATACTGATTATCTAGAAGGAAAAGAAATTCACTTAACTGAAGAACGTCACATGCAGCACTTCCTAGCATAAGATTCAAAGGACAACTACTATGTAGCACTATCTAAATAATTATATAACCATTACTTATTAAGTGAATTCAAGAAAATTGAAAAAATTACTGGACCCTGGGAAATAGCAGCTACCCAGCAACAGGCATTGCTTCTTCATTAAGATGGTACCTTCCTCATAGAAGAATCTCTTAAAACTAGCTTAGAGATGAGAAGCAATTTGAACACAGAACTGCCTCCCTCTTCTAGCTACCCCCTGAAGCTATGCAGGATAGCTATTCCCAAGGAGAAAAATCTCTAAATCCATTATTTTCAACAGCGTATTTGCACCTTATGCCTTCAGAAATTCTTGCTTGTTCCTAATTCAGTTGCTCACTTGTTCTCATCTTAATGCTGGCTCTAACATTCTTTTTGCCCTTTCATGAGCCCGTTCAGTTTTACTTATTTATTTTCTTCAATAATTTGGGTAAGACAAGTACCAGGAACAGTGAGAAGAAGAAAAAAAAAGGAAACAAAACAGCAAGGGTTTGTACGTATATATAAGTAGGAGAAGTCTCATTAAAGGTTAGATAAGGATTTACACTTCCTGGTGCCTTATTCCCCAGATGATGTGTAGCATCAGATAAAGAAAATGAGAACTTCAGACACACAATATGGGATGTATACTGCTTCCCAGGAGCTTAAATCTGCCAGGAGAAGGAAATTCCTCCACCCTCCTGCAAATCCAGAGGGAGTTCCATACTTCATTCCATCCAGCAACTCCAATAAACTTCCAATATGTTTTAATAAAAATATTTTTATGCTCCCAAGTGAGGACAAATCTATGTAAGTACGAATGGAAAAATCTCATGTGTGTAAAGGCAAGAGAGCCTGAGGGACTGACAAAATAAAGAAGAAAAAAGAGAACATGACTTACAGGATAAATGGTAGCAGATGCAGATATACAACAAAAAGTACTTAAATCACATTACAAACTTATAATATTATGAATTTTCACAAAAATGACTGAAACAGTAACTCCACGGTATTGCTCTGTCAAGCCCAAAATGACAGCTTATATCTTCTCTTGAGCCTTTTCTAACAAGGAAGTGGGAAACAATAAAAAAAAAGTATCCTATTTTTCAAGCTAATGGTACCACTTACATATTTCAGCCTTTTTGAGCAAAATCAACCCTAACCAAAAACCATCTAATTCTGCCTGCTCATAAGACTTGAGAAAGAAACAGAGGAAGTAAGTATACTAACTTCAAGCAGATTAACTGCTCTGCATTTGTTTTGCCATCTTTATGAATTTCTACAGAAAAGAAACTTAAAATTTTACTCCATTTAGTTTACCTGAATTCCAGAAGCATTATCTTTCTAATTGCAAACCTAAAAATGAAGAAAAGTAATCAATTAGCATAGCAAAAAAAGTCTTCTGTGCACAGCTGTACAAAAAAATGGTTATTTCCACCCCTTATTTTGTTACATGTAGTAAGTCCATCCAGATCTTCAACTATGGGGACACCATTTTCCTACAGTCTTGAAGACATAAATTGGTAGAAGCTGACAGCATGCTCTGGAAAATTATGACTATATGCTAATTCAGTTTGTAAGAGTGTTGCTTCTGAGTTAATGAAAATGCAAGTTTGCTCTGATTCTGCATGGCAATTTTAGATTACTTTCATAAAGCAATTATATTCAATATTGCTTTCAAAATTCAAATTTGTCCTTCCAATTTTGAGCTTACAATTTCTATTGTTACCACCCTTTCACAGCTGTAAAAGAAGAACTCTTCTTTTTCCCCGTCTCCCTCATTCAACATTAAAATTCAATGAAATAAATTTCTTGCCTTAAATCTGGTTACAAAAACTAAGGAAAAAAGAAAATAAATAAACAAATACATAAATAAAAAGCAAAAAGCCAGAGGCACTACAATTAACAATAAAGAGACCATCCTTCTATAATCATCACAAGAAACAAATCACAATACAGTGCCAGATCAAACAAGAGCTGCCCAACACTCATATACAAGGAGTACAAGCTCATGGACTTCCTTTTTGTAACATGTGAACTTTGAAATAACATAATAATTATAATTATACTGCAATGCATTTATGTCATTCCCATCTGCTTTCAATATATGAATGTATTTTAAAGCACTCTGTGAAGCATCAGAAATAACTGCAATACACATAATGTTGAAATGGTTGTCTTTAACAGAAAGTGACCAGTGTACTTACTTTGATTTGACAATTTCTTTTGCATATACATCTTCAATAACCTATGGGTAAGAACAATTTAAAAATTATACTTCATAAAATTATTGAAAATGCATTCCTCTATTTTATGCATTCCATTCAATGCATTCATATATTTTACATGCATTAGTTATTACCCTCTGATTAGCCATAATTGATTAAAAGTATCATACCAAATACATCTCAGCTCTGGTCAGACCAAAGGCTTCAGAGATAAAGAAGAAATTACCTAAGTCTCACTCAGAGTTTTATATAAAAGTCAAAATGATATGCAAGTCTTTTTCACCATTAATCTCTGTCTTACTGTTGAATTTAAAACAGTCCTGAAGAGCCTGTATCAACCTGGTTATCAATTGTTGCTGTGTTTTTTAAACAGCATCAAACCAAAACCAGCCATTCTTATCCAGCTTTTCCACCAGGAATAAAAGAATCTGCTCTACCTGCTGCAATATGCACACTTTGACATCGCATCATAAAGACTTCTAATTCAACTGCTTCTCTTCGTCCCAGTTCTAGCAATCACATACAAATCCTATCACCAACATACTACAAAGATCAAGCAGAGGCTGAAAAGGGAGATTAAACCAAATAACAGCAAGGGAAAAAAACATTAAAAGATCCTACACTACAGGATGCCAACACAGAACCAAACAAATACAGCTAAGTTTTAAGCGTTAAAACCAAAGATGTCAATCACAACAGTAATAAAGCTTTCCAATCTAAACCCTCAAAAGAAACTTTTAATAAGCATTATCATTCAGTTATACTTATCCTTCACCCTTCATTAATTTATAAGAGTACCCCCATCCCCAAGATCATTTAACTCACAAATTCTTGGCTAAAATAAACCACCCAAACAGGATGCAAAAGAACTGCACTGCTGTAGCACATTTTCATGACAGTGCCTCTATTTTTTATACAAAAAAAAAAAAAAAAAAAAAAAAAAAAAGATAACCTATAACTATAGTGTGGTAAGTGATCATCTTTCAAGCAGTCTTCCACAGCCTTTTATGAAATAGGCACCATCAGAGGTTAGTGTGTCAGAAAAGGGTTGGTCATCACCCCACTACAATTCCAATGGAAGTATTTACCTTTGAATCAAAAGACAGTTTTTTCTTCGCATGGGGAGCCCAATATTTATTTGCTAACTGTATGGAGAAACAAACAAACATGGTAAGCATATACACTTTCTCGTAATGACATGACAGCTCTATAACAGACTCAAAGCCCACATTTTATTACACTAGTTTCTAAGTAACTACAATGTTTGTAGAATAGTGCTTTTCACTGCTAAAGTTTCGACACCTACACGTTTTTGAACAGAAGTGCAGTTTTCTGTATTAGTTTTAGATGCAGAGGCTGCTATATAACAAACACTTTTTGTTGTTGCTGTCCATAAGCTCCCTCTAGCAAACCCCTCAGAGCTACACCACATCCTTTCAGGGGATGCAAAGGATTACGCTCCCCTTGAGACAGCTGACAAGACGCAAAGACAGCTCACCAAGACCTGCTATCTTATGGCTGCGCGCTGCAGCCTTAAGGCCCACGCCGCAGTCAGATTCCCGAGGACGGGAAGGCCCCGTCCCGGCACGGCCAGCCCACCTGTGTGACGAACTCCGCGTTAATCTGCGACACGGTGGGTGCTACGATCTTCTTCGGCGGCGTCGCGGAGGTCGCCGGCACCGCCATCACGCCTCGAGCTCCAAGCAGCGCGGCAGCCTCAGCGGCCCGTGCTGCAAGGAACGGAAGGGAACGGAAAGGCGCCGCGTCGCGAAGCGGTTCCGGGTTGCGGGGCGGGCACTAAAGTGGCATCCATGGCGGCGGCGGCGCCACCTGCCGTACCCTCCCCTTCCTGCAGGCAAGGCTGGAGCGAGGGGAGCCTAAACGTTAGCGTTTTGTTGGTCAGAGCGCCTGCTGCGGTCCAGGTGCTGCGGATCCCCGCTGTCGTTGTTACCGCACAGGCAGCACCCAGGGCCACGCACAGCTGCCTGCTAGGTACAGCCAACCCATGGAGCGGAGGAGAAGCAAAGTTAAAGGCAAAATTTAATGCTTACAGAACATATCAGCAACTTGGCAGTTATTTAGAACAGTTAGCTTATTCAGTTCGGTAAACAGATTAATTAAGGAGGAAATTATCAGAATCCCTAGAGGAGTTCCAGCGCTTTGTGTCTGTGCTCATTATCCAGCGCCTGCCAGTTTAAACGCTTTAAACTTCCAGGCAGACACCATTGAAGTCAGTTTGAATGTGACCTCCTTTGTTTTGATATCAAGGTGATTGCCATTTCATTTCTTCAAGCAGAGGTTAAACTAAATATTCTTTTTGAAGTTGAATTAGAATGTTCAATGGGAATGGGAAAAAAGTAATGACAGTACCTTGAATAGGATCAGAGGATGGCTGTATTCAGATAAATATGCTTCCTTCGTGCCTTCGCTTTGAAAGTTCCAGAAAAGCTAAGTTTTCTATGTGGAAACTAGTAAAACAAAGAAGTTACAAAAGTACTGGTAACAACTTGTCTGAGCATAAGGGCTGAGCACTGCCTTGTCTGATGACTGAAGCCTTCAGAGAGACCTGCAATTAATGACAACATGTAAATGCAAAGCAATTAAAATACGCTTACACCACTGTACCCTATCTGATGCTTAAGCTGTGATAAAAGTAAGCAAAATAAGATAAGAGGGCTGCTCCAAAAGTAATGCCTCCTATTTTACCATGTTGGTCCACAATTCCAGAGGCAGATGTTGATGGAATGGCAGCAGAGGTTGAACTTTCCCTCCAATACTCCATTACATTTTGTTGCTGTGTAACAGATGGCAGCAGACATGGAAATGAGTATGAAGCAAAGGTATGTCACTGAATTCCTCCATGTTAGAAAAATGGCACCTCTTGACATTCATTGACACTTAATGAATGTTTATGGAGACCAAACAGTGGATATGAGCACAGTGAGGCAGTGAGCGGTGTGTTTCGGCAGTGGTGACAGCAATGTGAAAGACAAACCACATTTCAGAGGGCCATGCAGATTTTTATAAGCATGGCATGCAGGGTTTTGTTCATCAAGATTGTACATCAGTTTTGCTTTCAAGCCTCAAGAGCTGAACCTTTGAAGAGGAGTTGTGAGACCAGGCATGATACCCACAGTTTTTATATATGTACCCATCTATAACTCTCACTCCTGGTCACAGCTGTGTTAACGCTAGTCTTTTGAATGCTATGCTCACTTTTCTCCAGAGTGGAGGCATGTCTATCACTTTCCACCCCAAACTGCTTTGTTGTTAAGGGAAAAATAATACCCTGTACCCCATCTTCCACAAAGCTTTCTGTGAAGTTACCCACCTTTCTGTCCTCATTGACTTAATGCATCTAGAAAATCAAATATTCTTTCTTAAAAAAAAAAATAAAAAATCTGTCAGTTCATTCATGAAGACATATACTTTTTAAAAAGCCATGCATTTGAGTAGATGCTTAAAATGACTTCAAAATGTTATGTATTTTTAGGCTGCATATAGTTCTGGTCAATTTATAAGAATCAAAGCAGCACTGATTACATAGCTCTTCTTGCTTTAGACCCTTACCCTTCCATATTATTGCAGCCAAAACAAAAAAACGCTTTTCTTCTTTATTTGTAAAGTATACAAGTCAAGGTCATAAATAAGCTATCCATTTGTTTATTTATTTATTATATCAATGATATTCTCCCAGATACAGTATCTGTGGGTCAGGAAATATCTAGTGATAATCAGCATGGATTCAGTCTATGTTTTATCTTGTATTTTAGATTTTTTGGGTTCTACCTAGAGGCACATAAATGATTAGTTTATAGTGCTGAAACTTCAAAAAACTCATTATCACAGAAGAACATAATGGCACTATACACTTTGCCCATAAAAGAGAAGGAGGAATATATTTTTTGACATAATATTACATAGTGATTTAAGAGTGACTTAACAAGATTCAAGATAGCTGGGTACACTTGATTACTTACTGCATAAACAGTAGGGTTAAACAAACACACAGGAGGCCCTCCCATTGAGTCACAAGTTTCAGAGTGGACCCCCTTGCTTCCTAACCTCCTTGAACCAGGCAGATAAGGAGCCTAGGTGTGTCTGGATCCACTCCTAGTCCTAGACTTGGTCAACAGTTTGTGTCTAAGGGATTTTATGTACACAATCAAAGATTTAATCTTAGCAAAGTTAACAAAGCATATGATCACATATGATTGTAGTGAATCTATCAAAGCCTAAACCAAACTATTAGTCACTTACCAAGGATCTGTACTGACAAGATGTCTTGACATCAACATGTAAGGGGTGTCTGTGCAGATGTAGCCTTGAGAGGCATCCCTGCTCAAGGGGGAGTCCTATTGTGCATTCAGCTGCCACATAGGCAAACTCCTGGGGCTCTTGAGCTGCTCACTATTTATGGGATGATTGTCTCATAGTCATACTTTGTTTTTTTAAAAAAGGCACATGCTCAAGTAGCCCTCAGCTGTTGAGCCAGGTGTCTGTTATCAGTTCATTAAGCCTGCTCAGTTTGAGACAGATTTGTGATGGTTAATCTGTTTTTTATGAGTGCTGTCAGTATTGTTACTCATTGTTTCCTGTGCAAGGCAAGACCAGAGTAGGGAGTTGGGAGAAAGAAGGGAGGTTGGGGGGGGGAGGAAGCACACCATCACATTCATCCATAAATGTTTATAGTACTGTGTCTTTTAAGATTGTTATGCTAGGGTCTATAATGAGATGTGACTTAATTCACAGGAAGCTGCTGATGTTTTGATTCTTTAAAACAATTCAGTAGTTTGATGACACTTATGTAATAAATTTGTGGGCTTGTATCTTAGCTATGAGGCTAATTTGGTATACATATATTATTTAACCTCTAATTAGCAATGCAAGAACATTATAAATTTGCAAAGTGCTTTGAATTTCGTATGTATTATGTAAGGAGTAAATATCATTCTTAATTCACTTTTAGTGGGAAAGAATCTCAGTAATATACACACATCATGTCATGTTTGAATTACAGCCTGTTTTTACTGTAAGTCATACTAATATAGTAGTCTAGAGAGAATCCATGCCTGTGGAATTTTCCTAAATGGAAATATCTAAGGGTAAGAATCTATGACCATCCCACTTGTGGGGATGCAATATATATACAGACTAGAATTTCTTCTAGTTAAACTAGATTCAGCAGCTACATATTCTAATTCAAAAATTGTTTCACTTTTTGCTGTTGCTCTTTCAAACAAATACAGGAGTTAAACCTTTTAATCTTCTTTCAGTTCTTTGAAATAAAAAAACCCTGCATGAAGGAATACAGATTCTGTATGGATAACACGTATCTAACAGTGGGAAAGCTTTGTTCCAAAGAATATAATAAACATCAGCACTTCCCTCAGGTTGCAGTGTCATTACTCTACCCTTCAGAAAGGAGTTGGATTTGATTATCATTATGGGTCCCTTCCAACTCAGAATATTCTATGATTCTCTGAAGACCAGAAACCCCCTGTGTCTCTTAGTTGTTGAAGTAATTGAAAAAAAAAGTATTCATTATATTTGCTTTCAGATATTAAAAAAATAAATAAATCAGAAAAGCCTCTCAAAATAGATCACAGGAATCTTTCAGCTTCTAAGAAGTTGAGGCACAATATTAGGGGCTATTCATTTCATTAATCTTTCACAGTAGAGAATATTCGCATAGACTAAATATTCAGTCTGTTCATTATAATTTTAATTCAATCATATTATAATTTTAAGTGTATTCTTCTAATCCAAGAGTTTGTCACTATGTTCATCTCAGTAAATATGTGTACTTCCAAGTATGTGTACTTTCACTAAGTAAATATGGGTACTTTCAAAAATGATGCCTCAGTTTAGTAACAGATGCTTCTTAAAATATTTAGAATTCTAAAGTGCAAAGAAGCCGTCAGTAGCATTCTGATTTGTGTATAAATATTTATTTATCACACGTTCTGGCCAATGTACTGCCCTTGATTTTTGTGCAAAACTTACAGTAACTTCAATGGAAAATCTGAGCTCACGACTAGAGAAAAATGTGGCAAATTCAGCAGCCCAGCTGCTTTTATATTCCAGAACAGCAAGCAGTGCCTCTAATGAAGGAGATGGGTAAATATGGGAATTTATGTCACTTTTAGCTTTCTGTTGCTGGGCAAGCAGCTCAAATTAGACCAGATTATGGGCTACCACAATTCTCTTCAGATACTTTTACCTGGATTCCTACCAATTGGAATAGAATAGTGATATAAACATAAGAAACCAATGGCCAGTACTTAATGTTCTAGAAATACTTGCTAGAAATCCTGTGAGACTGATATAACATTTCTATGAGGAAGTTTCCCTCTTAAATCTATAGTGCAGCTTAATCTCTTTAAATGTAGTTTCTAGCATTTCAAAAATGTCTTCTCATTTTTATCATTTACTTATGATTCTCTATGTGTGTCAGAAACCAGATATGAGTAACAGAAATGCCGCATCTAGTAGAAATTCCCTACTAGTAAAAAACAGGAAAAAAAAATAGTAGACAACCCCTTAGGAAGATTTGGAGAATTGTAAAATATGAGATGAAAAAACTCTTAGTTATTACAGTATCATAAAAAGCATAAAAAATCAACAAAATTTCAGATGGTCCTTTCAAAATATGACATAGATTGCCTTTAACAGAGTTTCTACAGCAGTATCTAGAATTCTGTTACTAGCTACTACTAAAGATGTTCAGGATATGCTTTTCTCCACAGCTGTGTATAATATCAAGCCTTTTATTTTGCTTTTTCCTGATTACTGAACTCTATGCTATTAATCATAAAAAAGTTCACTGTAGCACAGGATGGCATTTTGACTAGAGAAAAGAGTAAACAGTCCTTTACAACACAGACTCAATATTTCTAACCAGTAAAGTTTTTAATCTTACTGAGTGCCTGTACTATATACATCCTCAGTAAACAACTCAGATCCTTTTTTGCTAGTACTCTAATCAAAGAAGTTTTAAGACACCTTAGATTTGACAATAATGAAAAAGAAATATATACATATGCCTTGATGTGTTTTCAGAAGCAATGCTATCAGTTCAGCACTGCAAGTGGTATTCTGTCCAACCTACAAATCCTACAGCACCAACTCCTCCTTCTTATGAAAAAAATTAATGAGAAATAAATCTGCTTGATGGAAGAACACAAGAAGTTTATCACTGAAATGAGATTCTAAAAGCAAATCGTTTCCTTTCTGCTAGTGCTAGCATGAAAAATGTTATGAAAAGTTGATCCTACTTGGAGAATCATTGGGAACGTAGACATTCAATCATATATCCTTTCTCACAGTATAGAAAAAACATATAGCAGAGAAAACTGAAGCATGTCTAATATGTAACGTAACAGTTAAGCAATAGAGAACAACTGTAAGATGCTGAGAGCTATCTCCAGTTGTCTTTGAATTTTCTGTAGGTTATCTTTCTAGAACTTTTCATCTTTGCCTTTATATTTTTTAGGTTTTTGGTAGACATTTTCAGTAACGCAGCAGGATTTTAAGAAAGGATAAAATGAGAATAAAACATAATACTTACTGAAAACAGCAAATCATTTTGGTGTAATAGTGAAAAATAAAATAATAATAACTCTTGCTAGAAAATACTGTATTATAAACAGCAATTTACATAACAAAAAAAATTAGCTTATTGTCAAATAGATTATTCCTCTGCAAATTGCACTGGCATCAGACACACTGTTAAATGCCTGAGGAAATTTTTACGATGCTATTTTCAGTACCCAAGGACTGCTAATATTGAGACATAGAGGATAAAGCATACTATTGAATTAGCTATGGCAAACAAAGCTGACAGGATACTACTTCATAGTTGATCTCAATGTCATGAAAAAAAATCCTAAATCAGTCTTAAAAACTGTCCTCAAACTGACAGACACCTGAGGTGTATAGAAGGCTTAGCAGATTTCTACTCAGTTTAATAGGATTTCATTGTCACAAACTGGATCCTATTCAGAAATGAAATAAAAACTGAGGATATCAGCTGAGTTTCTGTAGCTCAGCAAACAATGTTTTCAAACAAACACAAAGCATTAAAATATATATTGTTTAAGGAAAGAAAAAAAAGCACAGATAACACAAATTTGCACATGAAGAAAGTAGCGTTTCTCTTGAATTCAGTAGAAATTTAGGTAGTCCAATGCATTAGCAGTATACATGGGAAACAGCATGGCTATAGACTTTTTTTTTTTCCACATTGGTGACCAAATAATGTTCTGCATTCCTCACATTCTAGTGCCACATAAAGTGAAGCAGCAAGAGGCAAAGCTTGGTAGCCACTATTTCCATATGCTTTTAAGTACCCTAAATACCCAAACCAGTTGCAGTGAAGGACATGCTCCACTGTTTACATCACGGCTGGTCGTCTTCTCGCATGCTCATGCACTGCTTCTCATACCACTCCTTCAAGTATGTGGACCCAAACTCAACAGTTCCTCAGACCCATACATGGGCCCTTAGACTGCTTTCACATAACATTCTTGTCAAGACACACTTCCCCTCTACAAACTTCCAATGTAAAAGCTTCAATCACTTTCTACATGCCATATTCTTCATTACTCATGCATCTCATGTACATGTACAGCCCCAAAATTTATTTTCCTCATAGTCCACCATAGCTAGACAATCAGAGAATTGCGAAGCTTTTTGGGACATGTACACAAGGCACCATTCTGTACGCAATGGAGGCACATATGTGACAAACAACTCTGTGACTCTCTGTGAAGTCATATATGGGGTTTCACAGGTCCATAAAAATTAGGATCAGTTATACTGAAGGAATTCCAGTGAAGAGGAAGAATTTCAGCTGCACATATAAATTATATCAGGTACATACAAGAATCAAGTCATACATCAGCAGATCCTGGAAGAAGACAGGAACTCAGATAGTGAAGCATACAAATGTGGAACAGCATTTCAAAACTTGTGATGGTTTGTGGCAGAAAACGTTCACGTTAGAACAACAGTTTTTGAACAAGGAAATGATTGATTCTACTTGTAATTTTGTTGATATAAAGGTGATTAACACATTAATGGACTTTGAAGATTCAGTTTTTAAAAGGATGCTAAAAAAAATGCTGTGTAAAGCTGCTTGACAGACTTCTACATAGAGACACAATTAGTATGCTCGACCTGGAGAACATATGTATATGTACATAGGTATAGGAGAGCAAAGTCACTTCTGTAATTTCCGTTTTCTTTGTAACTGCCTCTCAGCCATCAGACCATAAAAGCTGAGCTATTAAGTTCAGACTTGCATTTAAAAAAATCCACAAAACCTTGTGCTAGGAACATGAACCATGACCTCTCTAGTTATTTAGGACACCTAGACATTTGGGACATTATTACCAGGGGCCTTTAGAAAAACCAAATCTATAGCCTATTTGATATGAGTCATCCAACTGTACTTACCTAAGCATTACTCAAGTGAGGTAGTGTTGCCAGAAATAAGCCAAAAAAACTAAGCATTAAATCCAGCATCACAATTCACATCACAGTCACAAGCCTAAAGGTCTTATTAACTTCAATTAACTTTCTTTTGTATCTGTTTCCCATTTGCCTCATCACCTTTTCTTGTTGGCTATAGGAATAATAGTGAGAGATCAAAGACAAGTGAAAACTCAATTGCTTAGTGAGAGTAGCTAGAAAAATGAAAAAAAAAAAGTTTATTTTTTTTTCTAGATGATTTTTTTTCCCTATACATAAAGATTTGACTTCCTAAAGCATTGCAAGGATAGCACGGCAAGAGTGTAAAACCATTAATGTTTTAAAATTAACCATAGCTGTCTTCCTAGACAGAAAATGGACGGTGATCAGGTAGTACTGCAGTTCCAGCGAATTTAGAATTGCATACTTTATTTGCCTTAGAAAAAAAAATCCTTTTAACCTTCTTCTGTTTATTTTTCCCTTCTTTTAAATCACATAGAACTTCCTCACAGCTGAATCCATGCAGTTTTATAAGCTGTCCTGAAAGAAGTTCACTAGTATCATAGGGAGACCTTCATTTTTTCTCTTTACAATATGCTTTGGTTTTGCGCATGGTCTTAAAACAAACAAACAAAAAACCTAGAACTATGTTTCTATGGGGTTATTATTGCTATCTATCAGCTCATTGCAACAAAATTAATTATTGGCAATGTTTATGCCACCAAATATACTTCAGAGATCAATGGCTTGAACTTGCCTGGAAGCATGATGGAAAATGACTAATATAATAATGAACAACATGAACTATTATTCCTAACACTTGGAAAAATTACTCTAGCTCAAATTCTCAAAAGTACTTGGAGAATTTTAGTGACAGAATTTCAACCTTAGATTTTTTTCCCCGGACTTGTAGAAACCTTTTTACTAATGGGTTAATGCTATAATTCCCCTACAACTGTGAATTTATACCAGCACTAGACTTCTGATAAAAATAATAGAGCCAGATAAGCAAAATGGCCATTATTGCTCTTCTAAAAATTCCATGGAGCCCACATATTACCTTAGATTCCCAAATAATCAGACATTAATACTCTTTCTTCTACTTATCCCTCAAATTTAGCTTTCTGTATTCATCTTTCCCCGATTTCACTAAAATCAATATTTTTGAAAACACTTTATTTTTCTCCAAACATTATGCTTAAAAATATATTTTTCAAATGACTGTGACTTCTTAAAAAAAAACAAACACACTTTCTCTCTTTAAAAATATTTAATTTTATTTATGTAGCAAAAAATTCTGAAAGAAAACCTCTCTGTTCCAACATGCAAAGTGTTATATTCTAATAGCTAGTCTAATTTCTCTGCATACTGAATGGTATATAGCTTCAACACTATTTTGGTTGCACAAAAAGTATACAATAAAAGTGCAATATAAATAAAATAGTTTATTACAAATATTTTAAGAGCTCTACAATACACAAACATTTTATGAAGTATTCTCTTTCAATACAAAACAATTCACATGGGAAGAAAAAATCTCAGTATATAACCACGTTATTCTTAAGATACTGAACCAGTTGTTCTTAAGATACTGAACTAGCCTGTCATATAAAAATCATAGTATTTCATTCGCTCTGAAAGTGGAAGTGCACACACTCAAAAATATGGTAAGAACTCTCTTCATCCTTCACTTCTTTTATATCAAGTGCTACAATGGCTATTCCACAGCAAGACCTAGAGAAATAACGTCAAGACAAAAGAAAGTATACCTACAGAACTTACAGTTCTGTTAATTTAGATGTAGGATTAAAAACTTCAGGATTAAAATATTCAGAATCTGCACAACAAAGCAAAATGTACCAAAAGTTTAGGCTAGATGTTAGGAAGAAATTCTTTACATGGAAGGTGGTGAGGCACTGGAGCAGGTTGCCCAGAGAGCTGTGGATGCCCCATCCCAGGTGTTCAAGGTCAGGTTGGATAGGGATTGGGCAGCCTGAGCTGGTGGATGGCATCTCTGCCCATGGCAGGGTGATGGAACTGGATGATCTTTAAGTCCCTTCTAACCTAAGTCATTCTGTGATTTTATAATTACTCTTCAGAGAAAAAAAAAAAAAAAAGAGAGAAACTTCATTTTTTCTCCTCGATGATTACAGCTCCACTGCACTTACATTTTTTGACAGACTCACATGAACAACAGGTAAAGCTCTCTACTTACCAGAAGTATAACCACAGATTTTATTCACAAAACCAAAATTACTTAATTTGAGTGAAAAATTATTTTTAGTCTCTTATACTTAATGTAACAAGAACATGATTTCCCAACAAAACTACTTGCCTGGTTTATAAGGTTTATAACACCTAGGAGAACATTTCTTTTGTTGGTGCAACATGCACAACAGAAGGAACAAATAACTGCACATGTATTATCCTTGATAATTTTTTGCTTTCTTTGCTTGCAGAAAAATAATTCACTATTGCATGAAAAAAATACAAAAAAGGGATTCTGCAAAAAGTGCAAATAATGAAGTATTAAAAGGGATTGATTAAAAACCCTGCTATTTTAGCATACCTATTCATTTTACCACTAATAAGGAAAGGACATAATTTCTCACACATAGATCTCCAAGAACAGTACAGATGTGGAATTAGGTTTTTTTCCCCTCTATTAACTATTTTATAATTCTAGTCAACAGTTTCTCCTTGTTAAATATTATTTTCCACTTCTTCAGCTTGTTCTTTTTTTCTGCATCTTGTTCATCCAAAATTAACTTTTACTCTTTTTGAAAAAAAGCATGGACTAAAATACAGCAAATGTACACAACATTTTAATGCTTGCAATGTACAGAGAGCCAGAAGAAAGCAGCAGGACCATTTTTTCTGTATTCCAGAAATTGCCTTTTTATCTTTACTTTTTGATCATTCTCATTGAACAGTTACAGAGCACTGCGGATTGCCATGACACCATCAATACATTTGAAGAAAACAAATGTGAAGTAGCTTTCTTATTGCTTTGTTTTGTTTTTACCATCTTCTCATATTTACCAGATAATATAATCAAGTGGGCAGTTCTGAAAAGAGCAAATAAAGTCATCAGGTCATCTTCACAACATAAAAAGATAATCCTGTTCAGTTAGTTGTTCAGTTTAACATAATCCTTTTAATAATCATGCAATCAAAAATATTAATGTATAACTTCAGGGAACAGTATCCAGGTTGAGTGAAAACAATGTTTCTGATTGTTGCTGACTGGAACCCAACTTTAACCTCTCTTTAAAGTGAGTAAGGTGATGTCTTTTCAAATGTGGAGACTGTCGGAAACTTTTACCACAAATTGAACATTCAAATGGCTTCTGTCCAGCATGCATGAAGTAATGTCTTTCAAGCTTAGAAAATGATTTAAATGTCTTAAAGCAGAGACTGCACTGGTATAGTTTTCTTCTTTCCACACTCTCAGAAAAATCATGCCAGTAACTGTAACAGCTTTGCTCTGTTTCCATCAATTTACTACACAAATAAGGCTCTGTGTTTCTACTGCCAGTGTCAAGAACAAAGGCCTCTGACTCAATTTCAACTTTGATTTCAGCTGCTTGATTTGACTGAGTCAGCTCAAATTCTTGAAAGCCAGGTGCCTGTGGAGGTGCTTGAGAATAATCTGAATAACTCACAGGCTGAGAAGACTCAAATTCAATGTGATCTTCCTGATGATTGAAGAATTTGTTCAGATTTTCAAATTCTACATGGCAAACAGGGCTTTTATAGTTATTTTCAGTATGGGTGAGCTGATGTCTTTTTAAGTGAGCTGACTGTCTAAATGTCTTCCCACAAACATTACAGCCAAAGGGCTTCTGTCCTGTGTGTATAAGGTAATGTCTTTGAAGCTTGGATGAAGATGGAAATATTTTTTCACATCTGTCACATTTACACACTTTGTGTCTGTTATGTATATTTTTAGGAGCTGAAAAAGCATAGTGAAGTATTTCGGAATTATCAAGGAAGCCATCATCTGATGAACCATAAAAAGTATCATCCCTATTGTGCACTCCATCATTGATGCTTAACATGCTTTCACCAGTAAGCGCACCTTCTAAATTAATTCCTACCTTGAGAGGTTCTAGGTGCTCTTGCCAATGTAATGGCATAGCAAACCTTCTTTTCATCCAATTGACAGCCTTGCACAGGTCAAGCTTGCTACAGCAGTCCCTGAAAGATTTAGTGGAAACATTTTTATCAGATTGCTGCTCTCTAACTGCAACCAGGTCAGGACTCCTAAAGTGACCTGATTTCATTTTTTCTCTGCCAGTCAAAGAAAAATCTGATAGCTTTCCTCCAGTGTGCTTCAGCTTCATCAGGATCTTGCTTTTCATGCTGACTGTGCGACTGCACGATGTTGTGCAACTTGAGCTTTTCTCATCTCTTAGATAACATTTATGCAAATTTAGGACTTCCTCTGTTTCAAAACACTGCTCACACACTGGACACTGAAATGGTACAACATAAATCAAATAAACATCATGTGGGTCATTCTCCTGCAATTTGAATGTGTCAGCGTTCTCAAAACGATCCATCTTTCCTTCCGACAGTTTCTGTAGTCTGAGATGTTTAGTTTTTCCTTTGTATATGATATTGGAGACAGCCTTATTTCTGGCATGGAGTTGTTTGTGCTTCATGAGTTTGCTCTGTATTTTAAATCCCTTCTGACAAAAGCAGCACTGAAAAGGCCTTTCTTCAGTATGCATGAGCTGATGGATTTTCAAATGTGTTGACTGTCTAAAAGATTTGCCACATGAAGAACACTTAAAAGGTTTCTGGCCAGTGTGAATAAGGAAGTGTCGTTCTAGCTTAGATCTCGATGGAAATGTCTTGTTACACAGTTCACACGGGTGAGTTTTCTTTCTCCTTCTGGTACCATGTAGACAATCTGCCTTCTGACACTGATGCAGCATCCACTTCTCTTCAGTTGTAAAAGACTTCCAGCACACAGAACATCGAAATATGCCACAAGTGACCCCATCCTGCTCAGAACTCACAGATTTTTCTTCTTGCCTGATACAATTCTGATAGTTTTCATTATGAAGCTGCTGATGCTTCAACAAAGTAATTACATTTTTGAAGTTTCTATGACAAAAATTACACTTAAAAGGCAGATTATGGGTCAACTGATGCCTCTCCAGATGGACCAACTGCCTAAATGTTTTATAGCACACATGACATTCAAATGGCTTTTGACCAGTATGTATCAGATAATGTCTTGCCAATTTTGATGGAGTTTCAAACTGCTTATAGCATATGTCACAAGTATATGGCTTTTTCTTGGGTATCCTGTTAGCTGTTACACAATGCTGAATTCTTAACATTGTTAAAAAGTTATACCTTGCCTACTTTTAATTTCATCAGGTGAGTATTTCAAGCGAAATCATCAATTGTGCACTAAAGCTGCAGGCTGTAGAAGCTGTTAAGTTTTCTTAACAGAGATACCACAGGTCCCTAAAGTAAGAGAAACAGAACAGTATTTTAGCCTATACTAATACAAGATTATTTGCCCTCTTCCCTTTTCTTCCCTCCCCACCCCCCCATAGTAGATCAAAACCATCCAGATAACAATATTTCTGATTTAATTTAGTTTAAAATGCTTCCCTGATTACAGAGTATTCACTTGTTATTTTACATAATATTGAAATCTTTTCTACTTTTCAGAAGAAGCAAGTTTAAGTAACCAATGCTGTAAAACAGATATTTAATCCTGCCTGTTACTTTTAAATTATGTGTAGTTTAGCTACATTATAATATTTAGGTTATTTACAAATGAAGAATATATTAAAAAAAAAAATCAACAAAACTTATTACAATAAATTTCTTCCCTACAACAGGAATTCTAAAGCCCTCATATGGAATTCATAATGATAAAAAGAGGTGAGAGCTAGGGATTCTTGGCCTTAAAATATCAAAATTAAGGGAATGCAATGTTTGTAGGAAGTGAAAATAAACAATACATTGAAACAAAGCACAGTTACAATTTACATTTGTATGTTTTCTCAACTGTATACAGAACAAACAGTAATCATTTTTGCTTTATCTTAGAATGGCACACACAAGAGCCAGCCACAAAGCATAGCAGAATGTAACTGTTAACTACCATCAGAACGAGGATGGAACACAGACTGTTTACTATACCACAACCAAGCTAGCACATCTGAGTTGTAATACTTAACCATTCATATGCTCTTATGTCAGTGTAAACATAAACATTATCTTAAATCATTGTAGTGAATGACTTAGAATAAACTGAAGTCATGAACCAGTCTGTTTTATTCTCCTGGAATTTTCAAGTCAGAGCACACTTCAGCAATATGCTGCGTCTCTGCTGAAGCACAATGACTTGAAAATAAGAAACTTCTCATGCTCTCAATTACTGGTATTTTTAATAAAATATTCATAGGAACATCTCAAGCAACTATTTAGCCCAAGCCCTCCATTTATATCAGAGACAACTTCCAAAGAGATTTAAAGCACTTCCACTTCTCACCAAGCTTTCCTTGTGCTCAGCTGAACCTTTCTTTACTACGAAGTTACTTCCTTTGTCCTTCATCCAATGAGTATGGAAAACAATTAGAAGAAGTTGTTTCTTGATACTACTCTGTGTATTTTTTTTCTTTTTTTTTTTTTTGTAATAGAAAAGTCCTTTCCCCTCCCCCCCTCTAAAAAAAAAAAAGCAGCATTTCTTTTAGGTTCACTTTATAAAAACAAAACAAAACAAAAAGAACTGATAGGTGTTTTTAATCATTGCTGGACTAATTCTTCATTGATCACATCCTAAATTGTAGCATCTAAGACAGTAGAAGTATTCCAGACCACAACAGTAAGAATAATAGCATGAAAATACTCCCGCAGAATTATCTATATCCCCTTATATAAATGGGAAAGGGATGTAAGGAACAAACTTCAAAACAGCAGCTTAAGAAGGCATGTAATGACTTTATGGTATATAATACATTTTCACCAACTATAATTCATGGGATTTTGATACTATAACTCACAAGTTGTTTATTCTTTCTACATGCCACCAGAACTAATTTATTCAGTGTTTCTAAAAGCTCTGCCTCCTTCCAAGGAGACAATGTCCCTCATTTTTAAGAATTCAGAAATACATGAGAAGTTCATTTTAAGTAATTTCAAAGAATAAAAGCCTACTGCAATGTAAAGCAAATTACGATGAGATTTAAAACATATGCACAATAAAATACCTAAAAAACCAAGGTTTTTCTCATGTTCAACAGAAAGAAACCTGTTCACCTTGTAGGATCTTTCCATCTCTCACAGGCATTATACTTAATGAAATAATGTTTGGATGTGCACCTTAGATGCAGGTGTTATTGTACCAAGGAGTTATCTAATCTCGGTTGTTGAAGATAAGACTTAACACTATGGAGCAAATGAAAAAGTCAACTTTTCCTTTCCTATTTGCTTCCTATATAATTTTAACAGCTACTCAGTTTCAGCCTTTTGAAGATGCAAAACAGTGCTCTTAGGAGACTCCCTTTTCCTCCTAGTTGTCACATCAGATGAAGGTAAGGAGTTTAGAGTAAATGTATGACACCAAATGCTTTCTAGTTTGTGCTTCAGTGAATGCAGAGACAGGTAGGCTGAGAAAAGTAGTATGCTTCTCAGCTGTGCTGGAACTTCCTGTACAGCTATGGTTCAAGGCAGCCACCATTAGAATTGAAGGAAAGCCTCCTGAGAAAGAACTGTAAAGACTGACAAATTTTAGCTAACATGCTGTCATACAGATCTAATTTACACATGAGGAAAGGACTCAAACAGTACGGTGACATGCAAAGAAAAAAGTCCAAGCGAAAGACAGCCGTGGCATATTACACAAGGGATTTTGTATTTAGCTTATAAATGTATTAAAGATTCTATCTGATGAATGAGGAAAGTGTTCTGTAGTAAAAGTTGTCAAAAGCAGACTAGAGCTGGTCATTTGCCACTGAAAGACTTTAGGCTCAAATGAGGCAGTGCGGAAGGAGAGAAATGATAACTGCAGCTCTGTGTGGCCAAAATACATTTTTCAAATTGTATTTACTAAGTATAGATTTCTCCATATCTATTTCATTGTGAACTGTGCCTTCCATATCTAAAGAATAAACACACTGCTGCTAAAGCTGAAAGAACGAAAGACAAGTTTGGAATATTCTTTTCTGCAAGCCCTGGAAATACACAGGCTTGTCCTAATTAGAAAAAGTACTTTCCTATGTGATACAAATTTAGTTTACAGATTTTGTTTGTAGACGAGGCCCAGTTTAATATTAAATTGACACTACTTTTTATCTTGGCTGCAAGATCATGCAGAAAAATAACATAAAGATGCAAACCACTGAAGGTCCACAGAGTACTCCCTCCTATGTCTAAATATTACTTAAATACATATTATTATTTATTTTTCAGATGACAGCAAGCTGATAATCAGAGAAGGTCTAAAGGGAAAAAAAAAATACAAAAACAAAAAAACTGGATTCACACTTCAATAAGAAGACAAACAAGATTTTCTGGAAAATGAACACCTTACTAGGCAACAGTTACATAGACGAGACCTGGGAGCAGTTAGAACAGATGCCGAGTATGACAACAGCATACTGTTATACTAGGATATATAAACAGAAACAGAGCTTGAATGGCACATAAATCTCCCATTTAGAATTCAACAACTGGAATACTCTATCCTGTTTTGAACAATGCCCTTCAAATTTAATCAAGTATATGAACTTACTGGAATGAGACTAGATAAGAGGATCAATAAAGATCAGAGCTAATATGCATACTATTTTGAAAAATATTAAAATAATTGGGAATGTTTATTTTAAGGGAGAGGAGACCTGATTAAAAAGAAAAGCAAGACAAACACGCTAAAAAAAAAGTCTGCTCTGAAAAGAAAAATTGTTCCTCAAGCCATATAAAGCTGTGACTAGAAACGGATTCAAATTACAGGAGAGGATTCAAGTACATTATTCTTACAGTTATACAATCTTTCTTGATAACTAATTTGTTGGAGGTAGAAAAGTCTCCCCACACACCAGTAAATTCTTCAAAAAGAGGCTTCACAAAGGCTTCTCAGATTCCCTCACTCTGCTTTGATGCATGGGAATAAACACAAAATGAGTGTTCTAACCTGTTTTCCTGTGATTAATTTAATTCAAAACATAAGAGTTGAAAATTCAGTGTTTCCAAATTTGCCACTAACAGATTATTATGCCTTGTTAGTTTATCCTCAGGCCTCAAGAAATATGAATGTATATACTTCTCCAGATAGCTGCAAAAAGAGTAATGCCAGTAAACACATTAAGCAAGATAAAGTGCTTCTTGTATCATTAACTAACTGCAAAACAGACCATTGAAAATCTAGGTGCTTATCTATGAAACACAGTATCCAACAGAAGTACAACTCCACCTACTATAACAAACACATTCCACCTCACTTCCTCACCTGTCCTTCTCTGGGGACAAGGTTGGCATGCTGCACCAAGGGAAAAGCTTACCAGAAACGTGATCTTTAACAGAGAAATCAGCATCAAGCTCCTCGAGGCTAGTGCATCTCATCTGCCTCTGTTTTCCAGCTATTTTTTAAAGCATTATCTGAAACAAAAGCACGTAGATGAGGAGTAGCAGTACTAGTTTAACCACAGGACAAAGTTTTGCTGAAGAGACTTGTGACCTGAAACTGACCTACCCCAAACGTTGTGACAATTTCGCCCCTTCCTTCAAACAAAACCCTCTTAAATACAGTTAAAGCAACTAACGAAGCGGCTCCAACACACAGCAAATCGGCACACAACCGCCGGCAGCTTTTCCACATCAGCAAGCGGGGTCCCTGCAGGGCCTCGGCGGCCCGACTCAGCGCTACCCGCGGCCGCCCGAGCGGGCACAGCCCGAGCCGGCACAGCCCGAGCCCAGCACCGGCAGTGCCCGGGGGCCGTGCCGCGCCGCATCGCGCCGCGCTGCCGCTACCGGGCGAGGGTAGATGGGGAAAAACCTTACAGAAACATCCACTACAAGTACATCACCTCCAGCCCACTCGTGGCTGCCGTCGCGTAAACGCTTCCGCCCGGATGGCGCTCGGACGCCGGGAAGCCCGGAAACGTGGGCAGGAGCTTTAAGTTCCCATGCGCGATGAGGTCTCGCCGTCTTCTGCCCGGCAGCAGCCTGCCGCGGGCATCGGGGAACCGGGGAGCGGCTGGTCTGAACGAAACGTGGGTACCTCGGTTCGCGAGATACCCTCATCCTGCGTCTGTAACCTTCGCTGATGTGACACCTCTGATGGGTTGGAACTAAATCTCCAAGGTCTGTTTCTGACTGAAACCATTCCGTGATTCTGTGGAATTACACTGTCACGCAACCAAGTGGACAAACGTGCCAAAGCTTGTAGCCTAGGAGGTTGGGAAGTAACACTGTCTAAAAAGATCTCGAATAGCTTGTGCACACACCAGTAATAATTTTTTTTTCAGAGCCTCTCTTCTGCAAGAGAGGGGCCATGGAAATGGAGTAGCTCAAGGGCAGAAGAAGTTGGCTGCAATGCAATGGCAAGGCCATCAGCTGCTGCCTGGCTGTGGCTGTCCTCAGGTCTTCCAGGCAAAGGCCAAAAATTGCCAGAAAAAGGCAAAAACTCTTTATTTCAGAAAGGAACATGCAGATGGTATAGCAGAGAATAAGAGATTTGCCATAAAAGTCAGTTAATAATTAATAAAATGCAAGGATGTGGATGAGGCTGATGGTGTGCTCAGACTGCTGATTATTATGCTGATGGCCACTGTTCTGCTCTACTTCCCTCTGCCTGTTTTCTCCATCCTTCTGTCTAAACTGTATGTAACCTCTTTGGGACAGAGCATTCCAAATTACAGACACATATTTACCTTCATAGCAAATAGGGTGGGGTCCCACATTTCCACTTGCGTTGTTCCCACACATGTAGCACCAAATGGTGACTGCACAGCATCTCTTTGCAAAAGAGAGAATGGACATTTTTGTACAGTGCCTAGCATAAGTGGGTCCTGGGCTATGGCAGAGTTTTAAAATAATAGAATAATGTTAAAAGGGCATCCAGAATGGTTCTGATATGGTGTGACAAAAGGTTCCACATGGTAAGCATTTGTGTTTGGTGTTGTCTTGCTGTGATACAATACTGAGCAGGATTCAAGAAATAACTGGATATTTATCTTGAAAGCAGCAATATCCACCAGATAAATAAGTAAAAAAAATAAATAAATGAGGCAGATTGGAAATGATGTAAAGATTCGTGTTTCAGGACAAAATAAAATAAAAATAAAAATAAAAATAAAAAATAAAAATCCACTCAGACTAATGGCATTGTGAAGAGTCTTTCCATCTGGATCAGTGACTTCTCGTGTGATTTTCAGTTTCTTTAGGCAAACTGTAGGTAAAAGAATACAAGGTGTTGGAAATGTAATCTATAGAGACAGACCATTTATCTTGTGTGGTGTGGCAGTTCAGTCCTAGTAATATTTACTCTTCTCACGTTTAACAACCAGAGAACTTCCCCCTTCTCCGCGTGGTAAAGGCGTGGTCAACAAACATAGCAGACAAGCTTGCATCCATAGAGGGTCATGGCCCCTAGCACTGACTTTGTTGTGAATAGCAGCCAGGTAGTTCTTTTCACAGTCTCAGATTTGGGCTGTATACAAAACCTATATATATACATAAGTGTTTGTCAATGAAAATAATATGATTCTGATCCAGGGGCATACAGCTTACATAGCACAAGCCACTGCATTATACTGCCAGATGAGTAAATGATATTAAAGCATAGAATTTGATTATTATTCCCTCTTTGGGTAGAAGACATGCCAAATCACCTCTACCTCACTGTTGCTGAAAATAGATGTCTTGTTGCTAAAAAATATATAATAATAATACTAATCGGTTACTCATGGATTCTATATACAGTAATGAAAAAGAAGATGACAGCATTTACAGGCTTAAGCATGAGGTACTTTTGCAGGCCCAGCGTTTGATAAATAAATAAAGCAGCGACATACTAAAGTAGTTTGTGTGATTGTTATCTAATTTGGCATTCAAGAATTTAAGTAGATCTGACTCTGGTGATAGCTGTAGTGTCACATGGAAGATTTTTCTATTACTCTTCTATTTTTCCAAAGAAAATAAAAAATAAAAAAATAAAACTTTCCAAACTGGAAAAACTGGACAATACTATAGTTTTGCTATCTAGAACTGAATTTGAGATTTTGGAATTCTGAATTGTCCCTTCCCTTCTGAAAGAAAGCTATTTCTTAGTTGCAACAGCAAAAAAAGTTATGTAATCCTTTTATCTTACTATAAATGCATATTTCTTGATTTCTTATAAAATGTACAATGTTTAGAAAAGGAATTAGCATCTCAAGTTTACGGTTAATAAAAAATGATTGATTGCTTCCTCTGTCGATGTACACTGTAGTATATTGATATGAAAATACTTTTCAATTCTCTTTAATTTTTAGATTTTACCTTAAAGTATTGTAAAGATGCCTCTGCAAACTGACAGTTGGTAATTCAATTATGTGAGTTGCAGGGACAGTCTGTGAGTTAACTGCAACACATTATCATTCATATTTTGTCTGCTTTTTAGAGGTGTTCCGTACTTTAAACACATGTGCTGTATATGCAATGTGTTACAGTTATTTCCCTGGTGTTATTTTCATTGAATTTTAGATTAAATAGGCACATAACACGGTATATAACTTGCTAATGTGTCAATTAATGCCACCTCAGGGCTGAAATAAATTGCAAAGACTTTTAAAACTGTGACTACACATTTTGTGCTAGTCTTAGCTTTCTTCCTTCCTCTCTTTTCCTATTTTCTGCTTTTTTTTTTTTTTTTCTTCCCCCCCCCAACCAAATAGTCTATCTTAGATTCCTCTAGTGCATAACAATGAATTGCCTTGAGGGGAAATAGTTGTTTAATGAATCTCAGAATTATGTATTCTACACGTGCAAGTATCATATTGTATTTGATTAAGCACTGTGTATGGCAAAAGCTCTAAAGATTCTTTGTACATTAAAAAAAGGCAAATTTTAATGACATTTTCAAGAAAAGTAAACTTTATTCATCCAGACTTGTAAACAGCTAGAGCATCATATCAAAATATCAGTTTTAAAAGAATATGATGAAATTAAAAAAAACAAAAACAAAAACAGCAATTTAGTTCTGTGATATGTAAGCGTAATTCTATGATAAGATATAATTTTGTCTAAATACAGTCACTTCTAACAGCTTTTTTTGCCGTGTCTGAAAATAGATTTTACTTTATCTAGCAGTATATTTCAATTCAAATTTCATATCTACTATGTTATATTTAAAACCAGTATAAAACTGTTAATTTGGATGGTCATTTGTTGGGTAAAACCTCCCAGTTTGCTAGCTCACATCCCTTATCTCTAGGATTCCTTAAGCATCACTGCTTTGAAGTGAATTGTAGGCTCTATCAATTACATCTGTTTAAATGGACAAATTTAATTACTACAGAAGAGCAATTGATTTTCAAATTACCACTGATTGCATAGTGGATATCTCAGTGGGAAGACAGGTACATGCAGGCTCTCAAATGGAATCAATGTATTAATTAATCTACAGATTGACATACTCCATAGAAAGTTTCCTTTCTCTTCACTTCCTTCCTGTAAGTATGTTTGTTTCCATTTAAAAGCAATCTTTTGATGATCTAGAAGTGAAAAATTAAGATGTAAAGTTGCATATGCTCTGTATAATATTTAAAATTTTGATTCTGACTTAGCTTTATCACTTACTAAGAAAGCAATAAATATTATAAACACCTTCCTGGGGTCTGTTTGGTAACTTCATTCAAAGTCTTGTTTCTCTAAGTCAAAAGCTGAAACCATGTCACCAGAAAGGGTCAGGCTTTGGTCCTGCAAAATCACAAAATAATTTTGTGGTCCACTTTTGAAGTCCAAATCTACATGTGGCATTTGTTATAAAACCATTCTCTTTTCTATAGTAACAAATCAATAATTTCAGAAAACTAATCAGAGTTTATTAACTGTACAGGTACAGATAATGAACAGACAAAAAAGACAATCCAAACAACTGCAGGTCATCTGGCAAGAGACCAATGCAATGTATAGAAAGATTAGAAACCAAAACATCAATCCAAAAGAAGAGTGAAATGAAAATAGTTCATTTTATCCCATTACTTGTATTAGTACTTTTTGAGAACATAATAACCACAAAGAATTTTTTCTAGTTTATGAGTCAGAGACAAAGCACTTAGTAGCAAAAAATATCTAATTTTTGAGAGGAATGAATGATTAACTGAGAACATACCACCATAGCTACCTACTAATCAGTGACAGTCAGAGATGATGGTCAATTTAGAACAGATTTGCTGCTGTTCACTGCAGTACTGCAGTCTCTATGTTGCTGTCTGGGAAGACCATAGGGTTTCTCTCAGTTCTGCTCAATGTGTGCTGAGCTGTGTCTTCATTTATGTTTTTAGCATCTTTCCTTTAACATCACAATACAACTTCAGAAACTTTTTCAGCATGTACAGTAATCACAGTAAAGAACAACAGGTCTTTAGTATTTATGACATCTACAAGCATTTTGAAAATGACACTGCTTAAGAAAGTTAAAAAAAAAAAAAAAAAAAAAGATGAGATGATTATGGTTGTGGCGATTTTTCAACAGGTTCATTGCAAGAACTGAGAGAGGAGAGATGTGAGAGAAAATGTGTACTGCCACATAACTTGCTTGACTGCTTCAGCATCATAGTTGGCACCATTTATAACACTGGGAACTTCATATTTTAATCTTAATGTTTATGAAATACATAGGGCAAACAGCATCAGTTAATCCTGGTTTATTTTACTCACATGTGTTGTTAACTACTTTCCTGTAGTACGACCAGCGTGTGACAAGAGTTAATGGGTGAGATTCAATTGTTTTTAAATTCAGTCACACCCTTTTAACTTGAAGTATGAGAGTTGTGTCAGCTCTTCCATTATAAACTCTTGTTTGCCAGAGTTTATT